AACCCCTCTATTAAGGATGGATTGCAAGTAGAAGGGTAGGTTCTGGCTCCTGCACAATTTCTTTTTCTATTTGGTTACACACCCAATATTAAAAGATAGACTAGATGGAAGTATGGTGTCGCTCTTGTTCGGACTTTGCCACAAAAATATGGAGTTGTGTCGCAAAATTGATATTACGAGTGCAGCGATTCGGTGCCCAGGTGCAGAGGAACCTGCACCTGAACAATAATTTCATTTAAATAGCAAGAAATATTTTTAAAATCTCAAGTATTTTAGCAACTAAGATGCTCGAATGTGTGATGTACGTGAAACAATTCGTGGCATTTGGACATTCGAGGAGGTTGTGGCACAAAAAAACTTGGCTGTGAAAGAAAATTTGCAAAAGTACACTGTTGGGGCTTAATTTTTTCTTTTCTTCCTAGAGATCCAATGTCAAAACATGATGCAAATTTACACGCTCCTGGCGCATCTTTGATTTGAAAAAGATCCAATTTTTTTGTTTTTAAGTTTTTTTTGAATTTACTATTCATCAGGTGTAGATGAGCCTGGACAGAGACATGAATTACTGCATCACATTTTGTACTAAACTAAAATAGCATCACGGTGTTTCGACAATACCGCACGACCCACCGTGTGGTGGTAGAAAATGTCAAGCATATTACAGCTCACGTTAAGATGGCTAAAGAAAAACTGGAAACAATGGTTTTCTTCCCTGTAGACAAAAGCACACATGGTGAAAACCCCTTAGTGCGGCCCCAGATCATCACTAGCCATCCTGGCTTCCAATTAAGACACACCTATGCCATCCCATAGTCAACATTTTGCCAAAATGTTGGCCTCTCATACACATATATATATATCCCTGAAAAATAAAACATACATCGACCAACTCGATGACCGGTAGCAACGTGTCACACATATATGCATTTCCACACACAAAATACCATATGTTCCACTTCACACAAGGGTACTCACAAGGAAGAGACCAGCCGAGTTAATCAACATCGTTCTCGATTGAGGGTGCGACATGTGTGTGAAAAGAGAGATATTAATGAGATCTCTCTCAAGAGGATTTGTTGGGAGGGAAACATAATTAACCATTAATGAAAGTGTGAGAGTTAATTTATTGCATTGGATAAAGGTAGAGGGACAAAGAGTAGCTATAGGTAGTTAAGTGCGTGGTGAGAGCTTAATTAATAAATTAGCTCTCTAGAACTTGATAGGACTAGATTTAAAGGAGAGATTTATTTGGAGAGAAGCTAGAGGAAGCGGGTGGAGAGGTAGAGGGAGGAAGAAGAAGTGAGTTAGAGGGCGAAACAAGCAAGTGAGGTTGGTCACATGTCAACGGTAGTTGTCCATATCATACTCCCTCCGTCCGGAAATACTTGTCGGAGAAATGGATACAAATGGATGTATCTAGAACTAAAATACATCAAAATTCATCCATTCCTCGGACAAGTATTTCAGGACGGAGGGAGTATATATTAGTGGCGTGTAGGGAAAACATCATGCCGCGAATAAGCAAATGACTAGTAGTGTGCCGCCTAAACAAATGCCAATAGTAAGAGAGTCCCATGTCACATATACCAATTGTGTGACGAACAAAGATGCCACAATGCTAGTATGTACTTACAAAATTACAAGTACTGGATGGGTTCGAGATGGGCCAGACGCTGCAAGTGAAAGAGCCCCACATGCTTTGCCAATAATAGATTAG